ACTTGTATTTATTTATTTGATTTATACCCTGCCCTCCCCACCAAAGCAGGCTCAGAGCGGCTTACATAAAAGGTTAAAACAAGTTAAAAATATAAAACATTTATAAGACATTATAAGATGGCAAAAACAAATTTCATTATTAGCCATAGTGGGCAACTATCAGCAGTAGTTACAGGCCTGCTGTCCAGGCCCCATGCTATATTTCAAGTTGTGCCGGCAGAGGACAGGCTGTCAATGGTGCCTTCCAGGGCATGGGTCTTAAGCCTCTGTTCAACTATTAGGTGCAGCTCCTCAGTCAGATGCCTGGTGGAAGAGCTCCATCTTGCAGGCCATGTGGAATTGTAATAAATCCTGCAGGGCTCTGATATCCTCCAGGAGGTCGTTCCACCAGTGTGGAGCTGCTACAGAAAAAGCCCTAGCCATGGTAGGTACTCAGCATTTTAATGGAGGGATTTCACCTTTTAAAATTGTTTTTGCAAGCTGCTTCTAGCCTGAAAATCATTTAGGCTACTGGCCGCTTTATGCTATTTTCACCCTGTCTGGGGTTTACAATTAGTTTACTATTAATTTTATGCTGTTTTATGATGTATTGTATTATTTTACTTTGTGAGCTGCCCCAAACACATCTCTGGAGGGGCAATCATATAAATTTGGTAAAAATACAAATAGAATAAAAAATATTAGGGAATTACTGCAGCGAGTTAAACAGTTTCATGAAAAGGACATAATATCAAAAGGCTGGGTCCTTTGACAAACTGAAAGGGGGAAAAAGACTGATGTACTTGCAAAGCAGCTCACTGAACATTCTAATAGGAGCGCAGCAGTGTCTATTTACAGTATAAACATAATTGTTTAGAAAAAGGATTATAAACTCACCACTTCTTCATGCCTGCATTTTCTTACATTAATTCCATTAATCTGTTAAGGAAGATGAAATGATATGTTGAGTGTAATACTTCTCACACAGTGGTACATTTACATTTATAGAGATAAATCTGATATTGGTAGTGGGCTTATTTGCATTAGGGGAGCCAGGCACAGCCAGTGGAAGTCCATGGGAGGGAGTAGCCATTGGTAATGCTATAACAATCACTTCCAGGAAAACCCTAAAGAGGCCTGGTTTTCCTGGTTTCTGTCAGATGATATTTATTTAAAACAAAAACCTTCAAGCAGCAGCAGGAAACAGAAACTGGGATTGGGGATTCCCTGCCCCCCATAGGGGGGCTGGCGGGCTTGACTTACCTGCAGAATTGCATCGCCTATGAACAGCAAGCCTGAGAGTTCCGCTGTGAATAAAAAATGGCATTTCAATTGTTGTGTGTGAACATACTGAGAAAATTTACTACACTTTTGTCTCTAGTATATACCCCAGACTGAAATCTCAAAAATATAAAGCATTATTAATATTTTTAATGTTTGCCAGTGAGGCCTTATAGTTCTTATGTCTAATTTTCTTATGTCAAGGTTTGAGCCTACAGTGGGTCACAAACTAGTGGCCTGAGCCTCAGACCAGGATTATGCAGTGTTCTTCCATCCAGTTCTAGTCAAAGGACAGAACTGCTAAAAGACCTGTTCTTGTTCACCACAGACATTCACTTGTCTGCACATTCTACATTGCCTTACACTGCTCTCAACATTACTGGAACAGAGTCCAACACAAAGTAGGTAAGGGACAGACTATATATATTTTTTTCCCTTAGTGACAAAAAACCTGCAACATCTATATGTGAAGGTGTTAGTAGAATGACAGGCAGAAGCAGTGGGGGGATAAGAGGTCTGTATTTAACCAAAAACACTGAGAGTAAACTGCGCCCCAATGGTATAACCAGCACCACCCAAAGGGGCTTGTTTTAAAGAAGTGACCCTCTATGTCGAAGAAGAGAAGAGGAGGAGGAGGAGGAAGAAGAAGAAAAGGGAGGAGGAGGAGATTTATACTCCACCCTTTACTACCCAAAGGAGTCTCAGAGTGGCTTACCTCCTTTCCCTTCCCTTCCCTACAACAGACACCCTGTGAGATAGGTGGGGCTGAGAGAGCTCTTTCTAGGACTACTCTTGACAGAACAGCTCTGAGACAGTCATGACTGACCCAAGGTCACACCAGCAGCTGCATGTGGAGGAGTGGGGATTCAAACCCAGTTCTCCATGATTAGGGTCCATGCTTCTAACCACTACACCAAACTGGCTCTTAGCTATGCCACTATTAAGCACAAATGCCTCACCTGGAGTAGACCCTGGACTCTATGATTTTGTAATGAATACGCTGAACACTGTGCAAGGAAAGGATTCATTATCTCTTGGGATATGTTCGGGGAGTGCCTCACATCTAGACGGGAAGCCATTTATGCTGAACACTGTGTCAGTGCAAAACATCCCTGTCACTCAGATTTAGAGGCATCTGTCCCTTATATATAAAGCCATAGTGTGGCCCAACGTTCCAATGCACACCAACAGTGTTTGGAGGCTTGAACTGTCAGTCAGAGATGCTGGCTGGGTTGCCTGGCTGCTTTGTGTAGTCCCGCCCACGTCAGCCCCGGCCAGCATGTTCGGCTCAGTCTGCTCTGGGCCTCTGACAGGAGAGGACCATCTACAGACTGAGCGCAGGGACGGGGCTTCTACGGCTGGGCCGCTTCAGCCCACTTTTCTCTGATTGGGACAGCATTTCAAGGTCATTTGCATATGGAAGCTGATTGGACTTCACTCCATTCCACACCTCAACCCCCCACCCCCGCAAGACAGTTGGAATTGTCAGTTGCATATGGGACCTGGTGTATTTTGAGGTAAAATATGTCCTCACTCACAACACATCACTTCCCCTTCAAAAGAAACAAACCCAATAACACAATCATGCCACACCACAAAAAGACAGATCACACCACAAGCAGAATACCACAAGGCAAAAAATGATAGGAAAAGGTGCCAGCAGTCTGCCACAGATATGTACCTGGGAGTGCAGGTCCCAGGTTCATGTATTAAAAGCTGTTTGGGGGATTATGGACCATTCACAGACTTTCAACCTTAACATACCTCATAGGGTAGTTGTGCGGATCATACAGGGAAGAGGAGAAAGGGGAGAGGAGAATGATGTCAGCTGCTTTGGTTCTCACTGCAGGGAAAGACTGCCCTTTCCCTAGGCAGAGTCTGGGGGGGGGGATGTAAACCTGAAGACAGGCAGGCAGATAAAGGTAGGCTGATGGTTGCCTGGAAAGGACATAGGGTTGCCAACTCCAGGTTGGAAACTTCCAGGATATTTTAGGGATGAAGCCTGCTGAGGGTGGGGTCTGAGGAGGAGGAAAAAGTGGACCTCAGAGAGATACGCCATAGACCCCACCCTCCAAACAAGCTGTTGCCAATCTCCAGGTAAGGGCTGGAGAGCACTCAGAATTACAACTGCTCTGCAGAAGGGAGGGCAGAAGTCAGCTGAAGTCAAAGGGGCAGATAATGGTAGGTTGATAGTTAGCTGGGAAGGAGATGGGGTTGCCAACTCCAGGTTGGAAACTTCCAGGATATTTTAGGGATGAAGCCTGGTGAGGGGGAGGTCTGAGAAGGAGGAAGAGGGGGACCTCAGAGAGATACGCCATAGACCCCCCCCTCCAAACAAGCTGTTGCCAATCTCCAGGTAAGGGCTGGAGAGCACTCAGAATTACAACTGCTCTGCAGAAGGGAGGGCAGAAGTCAGCTGAAGTCAAAGGGGCAGATAATGGTAGGTTGATAGTTAGCTGGGAAGGAGATGGGGTTGCCAACTCCAGGTTGGAAACTTCCAGGATATTTTAGGGATGAAGCCTGGTGAGGGGGAGGTCTGAGAAGGAGGAAGAGGGGGACCTCAGAGAGATACGCCATAGACCCCCCCCTCCAAACAAGCTGTTGCCAATCTCCAGGTAAGGGCTGGAGAGCACTCAGAATTACAACTGCTCTGCAGAAGGGAGGGCAGAAGTCAGCTGAAGTCAAAGGGGCAGATAATGGTAGGTTGATAGTTAGCTGGGAAGGAGATGGGGTTGCCAACTCCAGGTTGGAAACTTCCAGGATATTTTAGGGATGAAGCCTGGTGAGGGGGAGGTCTGAGAAGGAGGAAGAGGGGGACCTCAGAGAGATACGCCATAGACCCCCCCCTCCAAACAAGCTGTTGCCAATCTCCAGGTAAGGGCTGGAGAGCACTCAGAATTACAACTGCTCTGCAGAAGGGAGGGCAGAAGTCAGCTGAAGTCAAAGGGGCAGATAATGGTAGGTTGATAGTTAGCTGGGAAGGAGATGGGGTTGCCAACTCCAGGTTGGAAACTTCCAGGATATTTTAGGGATGAAGCCTGGTGAGGGGGAGGTCTGAGAAGGAGGAAGAGGGGGACCTCAGAGAGATACGCCATAGACCCCCCCCTCCAAACAAGCTGTTGCCAATCTCCAGGTAAGGGCTGGAGAGCACTCAGAATTACAACTGCTCTGCAGAAGGGAGGGCAGAAGTCAGCTGAAGTCAAAGGGGCAGATAATGGTAGGTTGATAGTTAGCTGGGAAGGAGATGGGGTTGCCAACTCCAGGTTGGAAACTTCCAGGATATTTTAGGGATGAAGCCTGGTGAGGGGGAGGTCTGAGAAGGAGGAAGAGGGGGACCTCAGAGAGATACGCCATAGACCCCCCCCTCCAAACAAGCTGTTGCCAATCTCCAGGTAAGGGCTGGAGAGCACTCAGAATTACAACTGCTCTGCAGAAGGGAGGGCAGAAGTCAGCTGAAGTCAAAGGGGCAGATAATGGTAGGTTGATAGTTAGCTGGGAAGGAGATGGGGTTGCCAACTCCAGGTTGGAAACTTCCAGGATATTTTAGGGATGAAGCCTGGTGAGGGGGAGGTCTGAGAAGGAGGAAGAGGGGGACCTCAGAGAGATACGCCATAGACCCCCCCCTCCAAACAAGCTGTTGCCAATCTCCAGGTGAGGGCTACAGATCACTCAAAATTACAACTGCTCTTCAGGTAGCAGAGATCAGTTCCTCTGGAGAAAACAGTGGACTCGTCATTATACCCTGCTGAGGTCAGCACAGCAAATTGACACTGTTTGCCCAAAGCCAGAGCACTCTCCCGGAGCCTCTTTCTAGATTCCGTTGTATTTATTTCCACAACGGGCCTTATTCCTAGTGTTTCTAATAAAGAAGCTATGCAATCATCTTAACTGAAATGTTTTTATTATTATTTACAAAATGTATACCTGCCTTTATGCCATTATCAGGGCCATAGAGGTGGCCATGAACTTGGAGGGATCATTTTTAAATCTTACATTTGGATAGTCTGGCACAGATACATACTTACCTCTTTGCTCTTTGGAAATTTTGGAGACCACCACTGGAATGTTATGCTCTGCTCCTCCCTGTGAGATGAAAATAATCATAATTCATTGAGCTATTTTGAACTTATAAATATTGCATCCCTTTAATGATCTTACTTAATTTCCTGTTTACACTATTTCAGGTGAGGGGAAAAAGAATATCGTCTACTATACAATACTGTGTTATAGTAAAGTTTTCTAAGGCAATCATCTCTATTGTTGGGTGGGACGTCTGTTGGTAGCAGAAACAGAATGGAACAATGAAACACAGTTGACAAAGAAAGCAAACTCGCAGCAGGTTTCCCCAAACTCTCCACAGATTACTGTATCAACCCCATACCATAAAAGAGAAAATTGGCACAGTTCTGAAAATGGTGACCATGCTGTGATCATTTTCTTGTCAGGCTGACAAGGCAAAGATGAAAAAAAAAGCATACAATAGGAACCAAGACATCTGGATGTTAGATTAAAAGGAATGTTAAGCTTCTCTTTATGGCTTTCATTCTCTTTGTTCTCAGTCCCACACGCACCAAACTTCATAAGAAAATGGATAGGTAATATGTAATAGAAGAAAGGGAGTATTCTTAAAAAGATAACAACAGGTGATCTAGTGGGGTGGGGAAGGGACAGAAAATAAAATAACCTTCTCAGATTAACAGACCTTTATGGAGTTACATTTAAAGTAAAACAGAATTCATACACACTCATTTTTAACAAAATGTAAAAGGTAGCTTTAGACTATCTCTTTAAGCAAACCAGAAACACCAGTGCTAATCCTTTACTGTGTTTCTGTTTTTTAACACTTTTATTTGTCTTTCCTTAAACAATCACCTTGTTGCTAGCTTGAGTCATGCCGGCCACATGACCACGGAAACGTCTTTGGACAGCGCTGGCTCTTCGGCTTTGAAACGGAGATGAGCACCGCAACCCTAGAGTCGGATTCGACTGGCTTTCGAGCAAGGGAACCTTTACCTTTACCTTTACTGCAACATCACTAATCATGAACAGTACATCAATTAAAGGGGGAGCATCATGACACCTGCTGTCACCTTTCCTAGGGCCTGCAAAGTGTTTTTAGAAAGTGGGCAGGACCAGGCAGGAAGTTTGCCCAGCTGGGCCACCACAGCACAAGGATCTTTACCACATATCTGACAGTAAGCTGTGTTTATACAAGAACATATTCTTAAACAATATGCTCGTTTTAAAGGGCAAACTGTTAAACAGAGTTTGTAATGATTCCTTGTTTTATGAGCGTGTGTGTGCCTTTAAATGCTTGGTTGGAGTGCATGGTTAATAGACTAGAGTGATTGAGAGGGACAAATGTGCTGTGATTGGTGGATGACAGAGTGTTGGAGGGGTTTTTGAAGTGAATCTGTGTGGATGTGTCAGTGTGTCAGTTATGAGAGACAGGAAAATCAGTTGGAATTGTTCAGTTGGAGAGTTAAGTCAGTGAGTGTTCAGTTAGTTCTGAGTGAGTATATAAAGTTCTGAGTGAGTATATAAAGAGAGCAGTATATATGTCCTTAGCCTGTGTGGCTGACAATAGCAAAGAGTGACTCCTGTTAATGTTGGAACTGAGTGTCAAAACAAAAAAGACTGTGTGTGTGATACATTTGATAGACATATTTTCAAGTCCCTTTATCCAAGATAGTTACAGAATAACCAACCTCATATTTTGTTCGTACTTCAATAAATCAACTTTTGTTCAAGTTTATCCCCGAATTTAGTTCTATCTCTCCTCAGAACCACACAGATCCCTGAAAAGCCCCGACTCTAGATCACCTTACCAGCAAAAGAAACAGAGAGAAGGTTTCGAGATCCTTACATTCCTGGTGGCAGCAGAAACTACCCCGTTTACAAAAGCAAAGAGCACATTTAAAGGGAAAACCAGTCCTCCCTAATAAGAGGACACCACAGAGCTCCTGTCTGAAATGTTGAAGAGTTACTATTAGAGTTCTGCATAACCTCACTTCTTGACATTTTGTGGTTGGCTCCACCTCCTGAGGCAGCCATTTTGTGGTTGTGCCCACTACCCTGAGTCAGGAGCCCAAAGGTGCCTGCAGGCTGGAAAATGATGGGGGACCCCTGACTCAAAAGAAGACAGACTGAAGACATTATTTGAATTAACTGTCCATTTGAATAGCTTTGGTATATTCAGGTGAACATTTTCCTCTCAGTGAGAGTTGGTTTTTCTGAAGAAATTTAATTTGTGATGGATTTCTACAACTAATACCAAAAAACAAGCCAGATGTTTTACAGTTTATCCCTCTAGCTTTGGCTATAGAATTCAGTGTGCTAAAAATTAATCATCTCTGAGATTCAACTGTTCCACTTGCTAGCTAAAGCATTATGACTGCATACTAATTAAAAAAGCTTGAATTACTCTGCCCAATGGAATCAGCAAATCATGTGCCTTTTATGACATGGAATAGTATGTCACACTATTTGACTGAGCCTTCTGGGTAGGGCGGAATATAAATCCATAAATAAATAAATAAATAAAATATTAACTAAGGCACTTGGCCAGCCTTGAAGTAGTCCAGAATAATTTCTAAGGCTCATTTTAGCTCTCCCTAAGCTGCTTTGATGAGAGCTGAAACCGGTATCCCTTCTCTTAAGGTTCGGGCACACCTTATAATTATTAGATACTGGAAAAGAATGGAAAACTCAGAAATTAACTCCTTGTCACCAATCCTTTAACCTGCTGTTAGTCAAAGATTCGCAGTGCCACAATTTTCTTAACAATATTCGTTCAAGATACTCTATCCCCAATGATCTTTTGGGAACATCAATTGATAAATCCCAACTGAGAAACTGGATTTATGACTTTGACGCCTGGCTAGATCGCTCTTTTATATTAAAACCAAAAGCAGCACCATGGTACAAACTAATTAAATCGGACCATACTAGAACTCCATATCTAGTAACATCTCCAAATATGTACTTAGAGCATCCTTTACTTCCCTACGGTTTCAATCAATGCCAATGGAGGGCTGCTCTAACCAAACTCCATTGGCCCATCGCCTTTGTATTTGTGGCACCCACACACTCGAGGACTTACCACATTATATCCTTTTTTGCCCACTGTATTCCAGTCCGAGGGCTAACATATTGGCAGGTATTTTATCTGGTCTTAGTCTATACACAGTTGAGGATCAAATCTCATTTTTGTTATCTGACATTGATGCATATGCTTCTTATAAAGTTTCACTATTTGCCCTTGCTGCAAAGAATATACGTTCCAAGGTGGCAACGGAAGGAGGATTATCTAGGTTACTGTATTAAATTAGTCACATTTTGCTACTGACTTTCGGTACTTTTGTATATTTTGATATTAGCCTTGTTCATAATCTGTATTTTTATTGCCGAGAGTTTTGTAACCTTGTAAAAGCCAATGGCTAATTACAATAAATTGAACTGAACTGAACTAAGGCACTTTCCATTCACATTTGGGGGAGGGTAACATTTGAGACTTCTGACATGTCAAGTTTTAGAATGGGTCAAATGGAGGCCAAAAATAACATCTAAGATGGAGGATGAAATATGAAAGCACCACTTCTGATTAAAGAGTGCTGCAAGTGTGTCGGGACACTGGAAGGCCATCTAGAGAGATTTTGAAGAGCAAGAAGCCAAGGAAATCAGAAATTGACCCCACAGACAGTAAACCTGGCCCATTCTTGTGAATGTTAACACACACACCCCACCACCACTCACACACACAGAGCCACAATTTGGGACTTTTTCTTTGTTTCTTTTACCTTAAATTTGTTTCAAATCAGAATCCTAAACCAGGATTAAAAATATGGATTCTGGATTATGGGCAAAGGAAAAGACTCCATTTTTGAGGGGAGCATCAGAAATCATGACATCACAACCAATTAAACTGAGGACGTTCTAAACTAGAAAGTCTTCATGTGTCAGTTACGGTTGCCTGGTCCTGTCCACTTGCTGGTGGGGAACTTTGAAGAGGTGTCCCTGCAGGGGAAGGGGATGTCCCTAATGTGATTATGTCATGCAGAAGTGACATCATCATTAGGGAGGCAACTTGAACTGCAAGTGGTGAATTCATTGCTTGAAATTCAGGCGTTGGCGGCCCCCACTTGTAAAAAGCATTTAAAGGGACCCTTTAAATGTTTTTACAAATGGGGCCGCCCATGGCAGAACTCCAAGTGGCAAATTCACCACTTGCAGTTCAGGCATGCGGCCAGCAGCCACCCCTTTCCCTCCTCTCCTGCCAGCTCTTTTAGCATTATGCACCACTAGGTGGCGAGCTAGACTCGTTATATAATCAATTAAGTTATAATTAAGTTATGCACAGCAGTCTGGATCTGGGCCTTTATTTAGAAGACATTAACCTTGGTGCCTCTGTTTTCTTCAGTTGCTAATCTACCTTTCTAGCTTTACTCTGTCTCTACCGTAGAAAGTGCTCAGGTTTCACTTCCTTTCCTCCCGCCACATCTATTTACCATAAGTATTATTTTCTTTCCATGAGGAGAGACAAGCTTTGAACATCTACATTGTCCTCCAACTCTCTACTGGGCTTTGCCTGTTCTCATAATTTATTCTCAGCCCCCAGAACCTTCTGATATATATATATATATAAATCTCAGTTTGTATTCATTTGTCGCATTGGAACTTGTTTTTGAGATGAGAGCAAGCCTATTTAACCTATGTGCTCATGTAATATCTCCTCCTCTCCCGTCACACATAAACTATCAATAGGGATGCCAGTCCTCAAGTGGGGGCGAGGGATCCCCCGATTTCACAGGCTCCTGCCCACCACCAGCCGGCTAGCCAGTGGGGGGAAGCCCCACCCCCAAGAGCAACCACCAGCAGCCACCCCTCTCTCTCCCCTCCTGCAAGATTTAAAGGGCCCTCCAGCTGATTGGCAGGTCATGAGCTCCAGCTAATCAGTTGGAGGGCCCTTTAAGTTTTAGCTATAATGCAGCATTTAGCTGCTAACATGATTAAATAGGACAATTTTGTAACTGAGTAGAAAACTGATGAGAGGAAGTCTTAAAATTAGACTGGTTTGTTGAACAGATCAACAAACCAGACTAATTTTAAGACTTCTCCTCTCATCAATTTTCTACTCAGTTACAAAATAAGGAAACTACAGGTCAACTTGTTCTCTGAGTCACATTTTAAAAGATTAATTCTGGGAAATGTATGCATGCGTTAATGCTATTTTGCATTCATGTGCAGTAACTTCAGCTCGCTCTATAGCTGTCTTCAAGTTTTATGTTGTCATTTACATGAAAGGTCTGTTGATCTATACAGTGTTTCAGAGTTGAAGCAAATTATTCAAAACACTTTTCCTTTCTTTCCTTTATGGGCCTTTCATGCCTCCTAAGCTTCACCTTGACACAGGAGAGAGAAAAAAATACATTCTCCTGTGAATTAACAATTCTACCTACAGCAAAATAAAAATGATGAAGAAAACAGTAATATCCAGGGGTCTTGTTGTAGAAAAAGAGCTGCCGGAGCTCATTAGCATAACTCATTAGCATAACTTAAGGGGGCGGGGCTTCACCACGTGACGGCCCCGCCCCCTAGAGGTTCTCTTCCGGAGCTCCGTACCTGAGAGCTCCCCCCCGACTAGAGCCCTGGTAATATCTTTGATTATTGATGACACCCTTTCATGGTTACAAATTCAACTGGTGTAGCAGTTTTATAGTCGAACTCTAAGCAAAATACCACTCTCATAAGTCATTTTCTTCAACTGATATGGAAGGGTGCAACTCTGCTTTGGATACCACTGGTAGTGTCCTGTAGCAAACACAAAAGAAGTCTTAAGGAATCTTGAGAAACAAGCAGATTTATTTAATCTTTTGTGGTCCATGAAAAGTGGTACTTTGATAAATGTATTAGTCTTTACGGTGCCAGAATACCCATTTTATTTATTAATGAGCAACTGTGAAAACAATACTGAATTCCAGATGAGTTCACTGGATGCTCTGTGTGCCTGCCACTGGGATTTAGCCATCATTAATGAGAACTTTCAATTGAAATAGCTGGGAAGAAAAGACTGTGCAGTTGCCTATCTACCTTTTAATTTATGAATCAAACCTTAGAGAACACCCAAGCCAAATTGTAATGAGATGCTGCCTCCCCTCCCTCCTCTATTCACTAAGGAAACCCTGCTGCAATTAAGTAAACAAACTTAGTGACACAATTCAGATCTCATTGACTGCATTGTTACCTGCACTTTCAAACACCTTTTGATCTTATTAAAAATATTGTCTGCAAGACAAAAGACACTAATAATGTAATATACAGAACAGTAGAGAAAATACACACTACCTTTATACTTAATCCAAATCCTCCTACGGTTTGTCTTCTGATTGTTACAGTTCTTTCCTGAAACGACAAACTAGGTTCAGTTATATTTAAACTATTACCTCTTAAAATATCTACAACCAAACATTACTATGCTGTTCCTAGCCTGTGCGTCATATTTTCCAAGGTGAGTCCCAAACTCCAACATTTATTCTAAAATTACCATTAGAGAGATGGGAGGAATCAAGAGTGTTTCCCCCTGTCTTTCAAATGCTCTTGTTCTTATGCACATTATGTGTTGCAGACTGTACTATTTTGGTCAGGGCCATTTATGATTTTTTAAAAGCTGTATTTAATTGTAAAGCAAAAATTTCATAAAATTGTACCAATAAAGGCTGCCACATGCAAAAAAATTAGTCCTAAATGATGTGTATGTTTATGCATCCTTTAAAGAATGTGGAATGTCAGACTGGCCAAGCTATGCAAAGTAACTTACAAGCAGATGCACCTGCAGTCTTTTACCAGTGGCATGGAATTTCTATGTGTGTTGGAAGCTACCCCCCCCCAGATAGGATGCAAATCCATTTTTATTCATGTGGTAATGAGAAATATACATATATCTTTAAATGAAAAAGTAGAGGTGGCTGCAATAATATTTACAAATATAACTAGAAAAAGAGATATGGTTAATATATAGCACAATGTAATTTGTCTAATGAAACCAAGTCTACAGATTACCTACAATCAGGGGTCATTTGAGGGGGGACGCGGGGGGACACCATCCCCCCGGGTGAGGTGCGGGAGGGCGGGGCCTGGAGCTCCCTGCTGGTGCCCGCTGGAGGTCGCCGCCGGCTGTGGGGAGGACACACTTCCAGTGATGTCAGGGGGTGTGGCATATGCTAATGAGTTATGCTAATGAGTCCCCCTAGCTTTTTTTCTACGAAATGACCCCTGCCTACAATTCTTAAGCACTAAGTAACTTTCTTCCTCCTTCAGAAAAAGAGAGAGAGAGGGATTCCTATACCTCTAGTTGTGGAAGACAGCCACTTTTCCATCCTTCTGTAAATTAGGACCTAACCCAGCAAATAATCCAAAGAAACAATTCAGAAATAATGTATCCAAGATTGTTGGCAGAAGATGAATCCAATCAACTGAAACCATTAATTACCAATGGCAAAACATGTGAAACAAGATTCAGCTTGTGATGCCCAGCCTCCCAGTCCAAAATTTCACCATTTTATCTCCTCACAGAATAAAACGCATACAAAAGTGGTGATCCTTCATGCCAATCACAACCAGGGATCCTTGATTGCCCAGACAGTTCTATTCATAAGCTGTCTACAAGTGGCAATCAGCACAGCTGAAATTTTGACAAACGATTGTATTCAAGTAATTTGCATATGTCATGGGGGGGGGAATAACTGACTGCACATGCAAATTCTTATACTACTTCCCACAGCTTCCCCTGCCCTGTCTCTTGTTATCATTTCTCATCATATGTACATCTATGTTTCACAGTGAGTAACTTACAGATATGAGGAGTCCCTTGGTGTATTTTATTAATTTGTTTACTTTATTACAAAATATAAATGAACAATTCAATCAGACAATATAAAACATTCAATAAATAATGCAAAAGGACTAGGATTACAGAATTAGAAAATAATGCAAACAGAAATTGTCTAAGACATGAGATATAATGTATTATATAAATAATGTAGAGAGTGGATTAGAAAGGTATAAGTGTGGTAAAAGCAATATGATGCATACATGAACGATTACATGATTTTGTGTTTTGTTTTGTTTAACAGAAAAGGCAGGTGAACTGTCTAGTTAAAGAATGATTTGGGCACATGCATTCTTACAATTTTTATTATGACTGTTCCCTTGCCCAAGTGAACAAAATATGTCCATTTTTTGCCCAAGTGAGCAAAATACGTCCATTAGGGACAAGCTTACTTCTATATGAAGAAGTAAGCAGTGACTTAGCAGCCCATTTTTGTTGTTGGACCAGCTCCCTCCAGGCCCTCCGGTCTTCCGCCATCCTCTGAAGTTTGCTCAACTTCATGTTCGTTGCATCGATGACACTGTCTAACCATCTCATCCTTTGCTGTCCCCGTCTTCTTTGACCTTCAATCTTTCCCAGCATCAGGGTCTTCTCCAGTGAGTGCTCCCTTCTCATTTGGTGGCCAAAGTATTTGAGCTTCAGTTTCATTATCTGGCCTTCCAGGGAACAGTCAGGGTTGATTTCTTTGAGGATTGACTGATTTGTTCTTCTTGCAGTCCAAGGGACTCTCAAGAGTCTTCTCCAGCACCATAGTTCAAAAGAATCTATTCTTCTGCGCTCGGCCTTCCTTATAGTCCAACTCTCGCAGCCATACATGACTACTGGGAATACCATTGCTTTGACCATGCAGACTTTTGTTGGCAGGGTGATGTCTCTACTTTTTATCATGCTGTTTAGGTTCGCCATCGCTTTCCTCCCAAGGAGCAGGCATCTTTTAATTTCATGACTGCTGTCACAGTCTGCGGTGATCTGGGATCCCAGGAACGTGAAGTCTGTCACTACTTCCACGACTTCCCCTTCTATTTGCCAAGTAGTGATGGGGCCGGATGCCATGATCTTAGTTTTTTTGATGTTGAGCTTCAAGCCCACTTTTGCACTCTCCTCTTTTACCCTGAGCAAGAGGCTCTAGGTCCTCTTCATTTTCTGCCATCAGAGTGGTATCGTCTGCATATCTGAGGTTGTTGATCTTTTCTCCAGCAATCTTAATTCCTGCTTGTGATTCATCTAGGCCAGCATTTCGCATGATGTACTCCGCATATATATTAAATAAGCAAGGCGACAATATACATCCTTGTCGTACTCCTTTTCCTATGCGAAACCAATCAGTTGTTCCATATCCGGTTCTAACTGTCGCTTCTTGGACCTTATACAGGTTTCTCAAGAGACATGTGAGGTGGTCTGGTACTCCCATCTCTTTAAGGCCCTGCCATAGTTTGTTTGAGGCAGCCCATACACTGCCACAAATGTTGTTAGTCTTTAAGGTGCTACTGGACTCTTTGCTACTGTTACAGACAGGGTAACAGGGCTACCCATATTGATATAGCCTGTGAGTAATAATTTATCTCCTTTCAGATGCATCACTGTATCCTAAGACAGTCCAGAGGGTCCCCTGACTCTCAAGAGCAGCTTTCAAATAGAAAGGTGAAGGAAGCAAAACATCTTTTCTCACAGACTGCGCTCCATTTATAGTTCTTGGGAGGTAAGCCTATTCCCCCTAAATCATGCCCAAAGTGGTTCAATTCAAGGCAGAGGTAGGGAATGTTTATGTTACAGTACAAACTACAAATGAAAATGTATCATAAGCATTTATTTGTATGGGTTAGGCCCAAAATAACGACTTTTACAGGTCCCCTCAAGCTTTATAGATTTGACAGCATCTTAAGTAAAGACATTTCCTACCAATCTGTCACACTCCTATGGGACAAGAGGACAACTTAAAACAAAAACAAAAAACCCACTGTCCTTATCCTTAATACTGGGTGGTCCTACAAAACAGTGTACACTTCATTCTCATAGTGAACCCTCCAATAGTATAAGAAAGGAAAATAAAATAGGTATGAAGGGGTCCAGACAGGTGAAGACTTGATTCTCAGTGCTTGGAACCATAAGAGGAAGTATTGGCTCCCATCCCAAAGGGCAACTCTGCGTGGACCTCTTTATTTTCTTCTTCATACAAGTATATGTTTGGCATTCTTTTTCCTACAAGGGAAAAACGTAGCACTGCACTTGGGGATGATGTTGAAATGAAGATAATTATTCCTGGCCTAATTTTCACTGATACAGAACACACAGTATGTTGTTGTGACAGTGAGTATCCTGTGAAAATATGCTTAGACAAAGTCAACTGGACATGCCTGATCAGTGCTACATAATAATTATAAACCATGTGCAGTAAAAAAGCAGTGTTTTATACATATGATTTCTCTTTCTCAGCTAGGATGAACCTAATCAATTTGGATCTCTTCAGTTTCTTAGTAAAGGCTGACATGGAGTCCACTATAACAATTGCTCTGGCAAGAAAAGTAACATACATCATCAGATTGATATAAATTAGCTAATGGGCTATGTGTTTAATCTGCACATAAGGTCCAGCCAGGTTAACTAAATGGAGCACCTCATTTGTTACCTTCTAAAATAATATTCCCAAGATATAGGCTGGCTGTAACACTGTACGGAAATCTACTCATATAACTAAATAAAAATATTATGCATGTGTGCCAAGATATTATTTAAATGTCAGATACAATATAAATAATATTAGTGAAATATATTCAGGAAATGATAAATCTTTTAATAAATAAAATCAGATCAGGTTTGGCAGTACAATGGGGATTCATTGACTTTCTAAGGTTATCTAAGGAAAGAGAAGAAACAATTCAAGAAAATGTTACAGTGCTCCAAGGCCAGTTAAAGCCACACTTAGGCACAGTGTATCAAAGATCTGCTGGAAAGAAAAACACAGGGCTCCTGACCTCTAACCTTTGCCTTTCCTTCACCACCCTTTTTTCTTTACATCTATTTTGTCTTCTAGTATTGTTGTTTTAAATTGTAAATTTGCAAGCAGAACCCATATTTTAAAAAATGACAAATTGTTCAGGTTGGAGCAAAGCACAGAGGATGGGGAAGGGAATTAAACTGCCTCCTTCTTTCTTGTATATCAGCAGAGCTCCATAAGAAGCCCACAAGGCTCTCCTCCATACAGTTCCTCCAGTCCCAGGAATCATCTTTCCAGGACTCAGAAAATGCTGCAGGAATGGAGAGGAATGTTAGATAATGCTATCATTATTACTATTTTAGTTGTTTCACTGGATTTATTATTTTAGTTGTTCCACTGCAAGTCATCTTATTCTGATACTGAAAACAATACTTTAAAAAAAAGTACAATCCATGTTACTCAAATTTATATATCCCAGAGCAAAATTGAGGACTGGGTGTCTATTTGTTCAGTTTTCAAAAAGCAAACTGCTACCCCTTTCCCAATAAAGCACCCCCAAGGGCAAGATTCAATGGCATT